ATTTATATGATGAACTAACCAAAATGTTAGACATTAAACAAAAAATTTATTGCATAGTTTTGAGGGAAATGGATAGAAAATATAAAATTATAAGCATCAAGAAGAGAGTATTTTTATTGTTTGGAGTAACCGTAGGAGAAAGAGCCTAAGGAGAAAGAGAGGAAAAAAAAACGACAAAGTAATTAATAAAGGAAGTATAGAGGGAAAAAAAGAACAGAAAATAAATTTAAGAAAAATAGAGGATAGAGAGACGGTCAATAATAGAGGTTTTTTAGAATGATTGTGAAATGAGAGGGACTAGGAAATGGAAAGAGAAAGTAAAAGAAGATCAATGGAAGAAAAAAAAACAAAAAAATAAAGTGATATAAAAACTTATTTTTTTTTTCTATTAATCTTCCCCACGCACAGAATATATGAAATATTTTCTTAATTTCTTTTAATTTTAAAGAATATTTGACAAACAAAATATAGTTTATCAAGGCTCTAATTCTACTGAAATATTTATATTGGGATTTTATCAATATATGTAATTAATTTTTTTATTCATCTTGCTGATTTTTTTCGTTTTTTCTATAAACTAATTATAAATTATTGTATTTTCACAACCGCGCAAAGCGCGGTAAATTCCCTAGTTGAATTATATATTTAGCTAAACTATTCTGCTGCTAATAAATGATAAACAAGAATACACCTAATCTACTAGGAAAGGTTAAGACACAACACACAAACTTAATCTTGAGTTATGGTGAAACAAAGGTATCCACTACTAGAAGATGGTAGATTTCCGATGGCCAAAACGGTCAGAATTCGGTCGGAAATCACGTATTTTCGACTACTTTCCGACCGAAATTGGTCGATCGGAATAAAGTTGGTCGGAAAACGATTTCCGACCGAATCTGTCGGTGATTTCCGACCAAAGTGGTCGCAAATTTCAAAAAGGTCAGACAACCAAATAATTCATGTTCACGACTAAAGTGATCGGAATTTACCGACTGAATCGGTCGTAATAATACAAGTAAAATTAATAATTAAAAATTAAATTTTATTTAATTTCCGATAGAATCCGTCGAAAACTATTGAATATTAATTTTTTTTTTAAATTTCTGACCGAATCAGTCGGAAATTAATAACTAATTAAAAATTAAATTTTATTTAGTTTTCGACGGAATCCGTCGAAAATTTTTGAATATTAATTTTTTTTTTTTAAAATTTCCGACCGAATCAGTCGGAAATCTGGGAATTTATGGTTAAATCTGGGTAGCTGTCCGACCGTTTTCGTCGGAATTCAATCGGAATTTTGTATAAAACGGGGCAGAATTCTGCCCAATTTCGAGCTACACCACCTGTCATACTATTACAAACAAAAAAATACCAACCAACAATACATTAACAACAATCTAAACCAACGATACATTAACACAATAATACGAACCAACAATACATTAACACAATCTAAATTGACAGTACATTAACAAAATCTAAACCAACAATGCCAACCATTAACACAACTTAAACCAATAATACCAACCTTTAAACCTAACAATTTTGGGCTTAAAAACATCCAAATAGTAGCCTACATTCAAGACGGATCCGTAGACGCTGCCTTTGTTTGCTCCACCCGCTGCCTCTGTCCACAATAAAGCCATATCATCAGGTGTTGGTTGAGTTGAAGGAGGCTGAGTTTGTTGCCATTCTTCCAACCTTTTATGATAATCTTCCTGAAATGAAAAACATAACTATTATGTAAACAAACTAATATTAATAAACCATAAATAATTATGAAGTTAGAATTTTTATGCGTCTGACGCACGCGTCTCCACCCAGTGTTCTCTTGTACCATCCTTCTTCTTTTTCTTATGCAACTCCTCGAAGACCTCAGTGTTACTCATATCTCGCCCTCTTTCCTTTTCCTTCATAAAAAAAAGTATGAGTTAGACATTACAAACGTAAAATTCAATATGTAAAACTAAGAAATTTTTTATAAATAATTACCATTCTTAGTTTATGGGCCGCAAAAGTAATCGAACCTCCTGTGTGCAACGAGCCACCTTTTTTAGAGGCATGGTTTGCCTTTGCTTGTTCACTCTTTGCCTTCCATTCTGGGGTATTCCATTTCTCAAGAAGTTTATCCCAAACATCTTCTCTTAACCACTCTAGCATATTACCGGAATTTCGAGCAGCGCACATAGTATCTTTAATCTTTATAGCAGCTTTCTTCTCGAAAATACTATTTATTGCATTTTGATGCTGAGGATGCCATGTACACCTTGTCTGCAATATAAAAAAGTAACATTAGATGAAGACGATAATTATTAAATAAATATAATTATTTTTTACCCTAAATTGATTCCACATTTGCTCTCTGATGTTGTACGGTATCTTTCTCCAAGAAGTCCACGACTCATGATAAAATGGCTTCATAGAATCTGTAACCAAATGTGTAGCTTGAAAGGATGGCAAAAACCTGCATTAAATTAACATATATAAAATTAATAAACACCTTTTAATTGCAAATAAAAACTCCTTAATGTTAACATATCTAAATGTACATTCAACACATAAAAATTTGTATAAGAACCTTCTTACCCATCCTTGTGGGGGACGATTATCAATCGATTATAACTATCAAATTGTACATCCCCTCCAAGATTCTCCCTGTGTCTACGAGATGGTGCAGAAGCAACACTAGATGTAGCTGGGCGAGAGCCTCCAATATCCAACATAGATATGCTGGGAATGGATGATGATGATGGAATAGAAGATGATGGAGCAACAAAAGATGCACCATCATGCTGACTACCATGAAAGCTCGGGGGTGCAGCAGCTGGTGAGCCAGTATGCTGACTACCATGAAAGCCCGGGGGTGCAGCAGCTGGTGAGTCAGTAAGTTGACTACCATAAAAGACCGAGGGTGCAACAGCTGGTGAGCCACCATGTTGACTACTATGAAAGCCCGGTGAAGATAATGGTATAGAAGGTGTGGGTACAAAGTTAAAAACGGTGTTACTTTGACTGCCTTTAGCAGGCATAGAATAATACTGAACTGAATTATTAGATGGAGGGGGGATAGTGAACATGGTAGATGGCAATGAACACGTGGCTCCTCAAAATCGGTTTGGTTCTTCATAAATGCACTTGTATTAAGCCTAAATTCATGATTCATTGGCAAGAATCTACGGTGGCAGTTGAACCATGTATTTTTACCTCCACGTTTCAAAGTAAATGCTTTAGTGTCTTCCATACAACAAGGGCAAGCAAAATTTCTAGCAGTCGACCACCCGGACAACATTCCATAAGCTGGAAAATTATTTATAGTACACATCAAAGCAGCATGCAATCTGAAGTTTTGTTTGGTTGATATATCATATGTTTCCACACCTTGATGCCATAATAATTGTAACTCATCAATCAAAGGTTGCAAGTATACATCAATCAAACTTTTCGGATTGCGTGGACCTGGAACAATACAAGTTAGGAACAGATATGGACTTGTCATACACAACTCTGGCGGAAGATTATATGGAGTAACAAACACCGGCCAACATGAATATGGTGCAGCAGAGACAGCAAATGGAGTAAATCTATCTGTGCATAATCCCAACCTACTGTTTCTTGGTTCACTAGCAAACTCGGGGAACACCCTATCAAAATGCTTCCACGCTTCTCCATCTTACGGATGGCAGAGTATACCAGGTGGCCTTCTATGTTCGTAGTGCCATCTCATATGAGAAGCAGAGCTCATTGATGCATACAACCTCTTTAACCTAGGTATAAGAGGTAAGTAATGCATCGCTTTAACTGGAACTTTCTTTTTTGTATTGGCATTTGTGACTTCCTTAAAACGAGGCTGATTACAAAATTTACAGTTCTCTAGAGATGCGTCATCCTTATAGAATAACATGCAACCTTTCTCACAACAATCAATTCTCTCTGATGAAAGACCCAACTTAGAAACCAATTTTTTAGCAGTGTAGAAATCTTTTGGTAAGTCAATGTTACTCGGATTAAGTTCATTCATAAGCCCAATAATAGAATCCATGCTCGCTTGAGAAATAGAACTATCCGATTTAATACTTAGCAATCTAACCGCAACAGACAACTTGGAATGCACCGAACCTTCATACAATGGACGACTAGCTTCTAGTAACTGTTCATAGAAATGCTTAGCCTCATCATTTGGTTCGGATTGAACCCCAGGAAACGTCCCAAAAGCATCCCTCATCATTTCATTGTATCGAGGATTTTCAACATTATGCTCCGAAATGGGGCTACCCTCACCACCAAAAGAATTATGAAAGTTAGCATCATCTAAACTAGCATGATTCTCCCCGTGAGCAGCCCATATATAATAATTTTCTACAAACGCTTTCTTGTAGAGATGGACTTTAACTTCGTCTGATTTCAGTAACTTAACACATTTACATTTCACACAATGACACCTAATCCTTCCTCCAATAAGAAAATCATCAAGTGTTTGAGCCTTAGCAATAAATTCAGCAACCCCTTCAATAAATTCATCCCTCAACCCCGCACGATTAGGATGATTCCTATTATACATCCATCTACGATGCACAAATTCCATCTACACAAATAGAAATCTATAAATGAGATATTTAAAATAATTTGATTAGTTATTTAACACTCGAAATCTCACATTAATCCCTATTCTAAATAATATAAGTCTTTAAATATACTAATTAAATTTGAATAGCTTCTTAAATGTTCATGTAATCCAAATTAATTAATAATATCTCAACAAAAGAAATAGTCGTAGCTAACAATCTTGAAATTCAATCTGGAATTGTAATATAGGGGTACTATATTATTTTCTGTAACAAAAAAGTCACTTAGTTTTGTTAAGTATTAAGGAAAGACACTATTTTTATAATAAAACAGTCAACTAATTAATACTATTTTTATAACAAAAAAGTCAACTAATTAATACCATTTTTATAACAAAAAAGTCAACTAATTAATGTTACTTGAGTATCACAAAAATATTTCTGTGTGGCAGTGGAGACGGAGACAGATACTATTCAAACACCGGGCTTTCCCACTAAAACAATCTAACTTGACCCAGATACTATTTAATTGCAGAGTATAGGGTGTTTAGCTGCAGCTTAAAATTACACACAAACTAAGTTTATAAAAACCCTTTTTAGCTTGATTTCCAAGCAAACAATAATTTCAAAACTCAAGCTTGAACTCGAGTGTGAGCTTAGTCGCAGATGGATACGTCGAAACACACAAATCTGATGTGATTTAATAAAAATTTTAAACAGTCAACGAGAACTTACCGGGCAATGGAGACGGAGCTTCAGCGGGTTGGTGGCAGTGGAGACGGAGTCTCGACGGAGCTTCAGCGGCGCTTGCGGTGCCTCTGGTTGGTGGCAGCGGTGGGTTTGGGTGGGGGAAGTTTGAGTGAGAGAGAGAAAAGAGAAAGAAGAAAAGAGGGAAAGGAAAAGAAAGATGTCCGCTGGTAGGGTTTTTAAAAAATATTTCCGACTGATTCGGTGGGTAATTTGGTCAAAGCAGTCAACCTCGTTTTACTAAAAATTTCCGACCGAATCGGGCACAAGGCCCAAATCTGGCATTCATCCCAATTTACAGAAACTCTTTCTAAAACACATAAGTATCACATAGTTTCAACCATACGCAACTTTATAGTTGCTACGGGACGGACCAAGTCATAATCCCCAACGGTACACGCCCACACGCCCGTCACCTAGCATGTGCGTCACAAAAAAATAGTAAAATGATACGAAATCCGGGGTTTCATACTCTCAGAACTAGATTTACAATCGTTACTTACCTCAAACCGGTCAAATTCCTACTCCGTGATGCTCTTGCCCCTCGACTCGGCCTCCAATCGCTCTGAATCTACTCACAACCAGAACAATACCATCAATATACGCCAATGGAATGAATTCCAAAAGAAAAACTATCCAATTAGACACAAATCCCACAATCGACTCAAACCCGGCCCCCGATCCCATGTCTCGGAATCCGACAAAAATCACAAAACTAGAAAGCCATTTCATTAACGAGTCCATACATACAAGATTTATCAAAATTCGACTCCATTTGACTCCTCAAATCCTCAATCAAACTCTCCAAAATCCCAAGCACTAACCCCTCATCTTCACTAATTACATGATTAAACAACGGAAATTTACCATAAACACTAGTATTAGGGCTCAAGTGACTTACCTCACTGATAATCCCTGAAATCCCTCTTCAAATCACCCAAAAAGCAAGCTCCAATCCTGTCTTCAAAAATGGTGGAAATGAGCAAAATTCGCGAAGGATTCTATTTATACTTTCTGCCCAAGTCTTCCGCACCTGCGGTGCCGCATGTGCGCAAGAACATCCGTACCTGTATAAAGTCATAAAATCTCCCAACTTCACACCTGCGCTCCACGTCCGCATCTACGACTACGCAGGTGCAAAAAAGACCTCGCACCTGCGGCTACTGCCTGGCCTCCTCATTTCTGCTTCTGCGACACCTATATGCGTCTGCGGTCCCGCAGATGCGATCTCACCTACGCACCTGCGGACCCAGCATATCTCAACACTGTCCGATAACCATCCGAAATCATCCCGAGGCCCTCTGGACCTCAACCAATAATACCAACAAGTCACATATCAACATACAAAGTTAGTCGAACCTTCGGAACACTCAAAAAATCTGGTTTTAGCAACGACCAAATTCTATACACACGTCACAAATGACACCACGAACCTACTCCAATTTCTGAAATTCCATTCCGACCTGGATATCAAAATTTTTACTGCCGACCAAAATCGCCAAAATTCTAACTTTCGCTAATTCAAGCCTAATCCTACCACAAACCTCCGAAACACATTCTGGATGCGCTCCTAAGTCCAAAATCACCCAACAAAGCTAACGGAACCATCAGAAATCCAATCCGAGGTCAGATGCTAAAAAGTCAACACTTGGTCAAATCTTTCCAATTTAAAGCTTCAAGCTGAGACCATTCTCCAAAATCAAATTCCGGATAACCTGAAAACCAAAACCTATGATTCACATGAGTCATAATACATCATATGGAGCTACTCGTGCCCTCAAACAATCGAGCGAAGTGCAATTGCTCAAAACGACTGATTGGGTCGTTACATACTGAAAGGTATCTGAAAACATACAAATTGCATAGAGAGTCACGAAGCAGCTGGGCTGGTAAAATAGTAGCTATGTGAGAACAGTTTTTTTTTTTGATAAAAAAATTAGGTTTTGAGCTAGGGCTTTGCTCTCTCATGGTGGATTAAAAGTAGAGGACTAATCAACCGTACAAGCTAAGTTTTTATGGATGTTTAGGTTAATTACATCCTATTAACATTATTCAATCTTTGAAATTCTTAGAAATCTTTCAAGTTGTTTAAGGACACAAAAAATTTTAAACTTTGGATTTTTTTAGAAAAATCTTCAAAAAAGTAATTCTGATGCCTCAAACTCATTTACTATGAACAGTTGAAAGCATTTATAGCATTTATTCCAAGATGTAATGGTTGGAAAGTTCATTTTCGTGAACCCTAATGTAAGACATGAATAGTGTTTTGGAGAAATGATGAATGTTATTAAAAATTAAATTGTTGAATGCAATGAACCAATTTGTTCATTTATTGGTTAAACTGAAGGTGAACAACGAAGAGTTCAACCCGATTAAATATTTTGGATTATTGTTGGAGGAATATGGATATATATAAATAAAAAAATGCAAAGAACGTTAGAATTGAAGTTGTTATGAGTTGTTTGTGCTGAGAAGGAGTTCTTGGATGTAGATTGAAGGTGATTAATAAATCTAAAACTGAACTTTCGATCGGGAATTTGGTTATTTGAGCCTTAATGAAGAACACTAGAATGGTTCAATTGATGAACCTATGGGTTGTTATTGATGAATATACAAAAAGCACTGAAACACTTAGCTATCTATTCGACGTTTAAAGCTAACGGTTGTAACGTAAATCGACTTTGAAGTATACTGAGCTTCTAGCTTCTTATATGTTTTCAAAACTAATCTACGGTTTTAATATAACAACTTGGTGAGATTTCATGCATGTGCCGGACAAGCTTGCATGATTTACTCTTTGGTTGAGATTAAATGATAAAATTGCCTAAAAGAAGTAGGTCTTGAATTGTATAAAAAATTAAAAAGTGCGTATTTGTGTTATTGTGTGAAGCGACATGCTATTTACGTGATATGCATGATCAGAGGCGGACCTGCATGAAGCGTAGAGGGATCACCGGAACCCGCTAGCCTCGGTATATATATACATATAATTTTGATGTGCCCCTTAAACAAAAGATGCATTTCCGCTAGTTGAGCTTTATTGCCTTACTAACTAAAAGAATGTATTTTGTCTAGCTGTGCGGAAGTGGTATGACAGCCATCTTGGATGTAAATATTGGCCTAACTATTCGGGGATGGTACGACAGTCTTCATGGATGGCATCCCTATTATTCCATCACCACTCGTGTTCATAACATTCAAACAGAGACGGAATGACTCTGTACTTTATTATTATACCACATACTATCATTGTGAGACTTTGAGATTACGCACTGAGGTTATAAGGTAAATAACACTTGACTGGACGTAAAAATCCTAAACATGTTCTAAGTAACTTATTCTTCTTCCATGCTTTAATAGGTTAACTGTCTACTTGATTTAATTCTCATGTATTTTTTTTATTGTATTCACTTTGTCACACCTCCTTTTTTTACACACCTACCCCGAAGGATAGTGTATAAGGGAGTTTTTCAAATTAAAGTGACATTATTTGAAATGAGATTATTTATTTGTTTAGAGTCGCCACTTGGGATAGGATTTGCTTTTGGTGTCCCAAGTCACCGGTTTAACTTAAATCCCAAATCGAGGAAAATTGTCGACTTTCCAATTGGAGTCTGCGAACCAGAAATTCTGAATAAGGAATTCTGTTGACCCGAGGGAAGGTGTTAGGCACCCCCGTATCCCGTGGTTCTAGCACGGTCGCTTAAATTATTATAAATAGCTAAAAATCTAATTTTTATACATGTTCAAACCTACAGTGCAATTTTATAATTATTTACCGCTTTTTAGTTAATTTTTAGGAAAGTGAACGTTGTTTAAAAACGTGTTTTCGGATCACGTCACATGAAATGCACCCGGATCCTCGACACATTCTTATTCAACGTTTTTGGATTTGGATTTGGGTCACATGAAATGCACACCCGAGTTTAAGAAGGTAATATTATTAAAATTCGCGCCTAAAGCAACTACGCGTTTTTAACTTTGCGAGGACCATGGAAAATTCAACTAATGGCACACCTCGGTTTAAAGAGTTAAAATTAATTAAGTGAGAGCCATAGGTTTTGAGATTTTATTTGGCATGGCACGCCTCAATGTATTTCAAAAGATTGTACTCAACCACTAGTAATTCATTAATTAAAACCGGCATTTATCAAGTTCGCGCATGAAACAGACTACGAATGTTTTGTAAGTTGGTTATTTTCCTGCGTTAAGTGTGAAAGCCAAAACCATGAAACTCAATTTGCGACAAATGTGCAGATTACTACCTAAACGTGAAAAGCCCAGATGCTAACAAAAAATCACAAACTTGGAATTATTATTACGCTACTAACCCAAGTTAAACAAATTTTGTATTATGAAATTAAATGAATACAAATCAGCACATGAAATCCCAAGTACACGCGGCTGCTCATATTCGCCAAGCAAATTGAAGACCATTACTCAGATATAATTAATACCACATGTACACCCAGAACAAGAAAAGAGAATCAACAACAGTGATACGTTATTAATCTTTTATGAATAAACAATTGAAGATTGCTTGGTTTAACAATTCTAAAAAAACCACCGAAAGGAACAGTAATATCAAAGATTAATTAATCTAAACATTCTAACAAACTAGCAATGGAAAAACGGTAATAGCCAAACTACCACATGAAGAAAAATAATGATTGAACCAAGGATACGATATAATAGGAGTATATCACAAAATTTCAAATCAGGTGCAGTAGCTCACATTTCCATCCAACGGCAACAAAATAAATTGGCCAGCAGTTAATTACGCACATCACATGATCTGCCATTACATCATATTCAGTTGAAACTAATTTGGCAATCAAATTAACTGGTAGACAACAGAATCATGTTGCAAAAGACAGTGATCCAAAGTAGATTGACAGAGAACTTAAATCATATTTCATGAATAACAAAGTTCAATTGCTTCACAAATTCAATAATTAACATTTTGACCATTCCGAATCGAGTTCAAACAGCAGCTCAAAGACGAACAAACATACCCGGAAATGAAGCTCAGCAAATCAACAATGCAGCAGCAAAATCAGCAAAATCGAACAATGAACCAGATCTCAAATAGCCGGAACTTAAATTTAACAAAAAACTCGGACGGACATGCGAATCAACTTCGAACAGCCTACATCTTAGTCACATTCGAACCAATTCCAACATTTTAAGAGAAATTCATTTTTTAGCTAAAATTCGAAATGAAGATGAACAGATTTTTTTTTTATTTAAGATCTGAGATTCAGATTTTTGAACTCAAAATATGGTGGTCCTTTTCAAGAATGAGGAAGAAAAAGACCAGAAAATGGTGCCTTTGTTCTCGGGATGGGGGAGATCTCGTTCCGTTGAAGATGATGAAGGAAGAAGCAAGAAAAAGGGAAGGAGGGGTTTTTTGCCCGTGACCCTGTTTTTTGGAGAAAGGTCTATCTTTTTATGTGTAAAAATCTGATAATGTGTAGGGGGTCTTGTGTGGGGGAGTATTTTTGGGGAAGGTCTTATCTAGGGGAATATCTTGGGGGGAAATATTTTTGGGGGAAGGTCTTATGTGGGGAATATTTTGGGGGGAAGGTCTTATGTGGGGGAATAATTTTGGGGAAATATTTTTGGGGGGAAAGTCTCATGTGGGAGAAGGTTCTTCCAATTCTTCTTTTTATTCCCAATTTTCTTTTTATATATCTCTCTCTTTTTTTTAATTAAAAGCCCTAGAATTAAGAATCCTAAAAATATAGAATTTGTTATAAATAGAGTTCTATTTATGGTGAATGTCTATATTTAGAGAGATTCTAGGGTTTATTACTTGGTGGCTAAGTCACCATCTCCCTATAAATAGAGGGTTCTATTCCATTGTAATTCATCCCAAATCAATAAGAATTCTCTCCCTCTACTTTTCTCTGCAATACTCTTCTTCTTCTTTTATTGTTTTATAACACGTTATCAGCACGAGACTCTAACCAATTGAGTAGAAGCTTTGGGATTGAGCATATGATTGTCAATTATTCCATGAACTCCTTCATGATTAAATTCTGGATTTAAGGTAAGTATTTTACTTTACTTTTCTCGTTTAAATTCTTGACATTCTATAATTTGATTTTAAATACAAGCAAAGACAATAAATTTTGATTGTAACTCTGGTGGAGTTTGTAAGAAATTATAACCACCCAAAGTCGTAAAATTTTTATGTCTTGCCATGATCAAAGTCATGTATGATCGTGAGCACAAGAAGTGAAAACCCGTCCCATTGAGTTTGCTCCATTCTCATTCCCTTAAGAGAATGTGATAGCAATATGTGATAAGCTTGAAAGAAGACAAAATTATCACCGTAAAGGTATCAATGGATATGGACGTGGCAATAGACGAAATTATAATCGTCATCATTGTGATAATGAGAATAATAAGGATTCTCAAAATAATCCTTCACTCTGTGAAAAATATTTGTCATCGATTTGACATGAGATTTTGTAAAGCACATATAGATAATTATGGCCCATTCATGATGTGAATGTGACAACATCTGATTTATGAATACATATTCATTTTTCAAAGAATATGAACGTGCTAGTGGTAGTGAATATACCGCACTCACCTCTAAAAGGAGGTTTGAGATATAAGAAAATAATGTCATTATTATGGCATGAATGGTCATTGGTCACGTACCTATTGTACGCCAAAATATTTTGGCATTGTGATTGTTAAAAGACAATGGTAATGCAAGAAACAGATCTTGCATATAATTTTGACCATAACCATAATGGTATAACTTTCTCCTTAAAAGAGATATTCACCACATGAATGTTGATGAATCTGTGGTAGTACAAAATTAATTGAGAGCTCTAGAAGAGCCAATTATTACTATTTTGGAGAAACACAATTGATTACCAATAAGGTATTGTGTTGTAGTAAGTCTCAAAGAAACTTAATTGAGTTTCTAAGGTATTCGCGAAAGCGATTGATTATATTGAGGCTATAAATAAAGGAAAGATTTAATATCTTCTATTACTATAACTTGTAGCGGAATAATATGTATGTGAAAAGTTACCCGCTTTATTCTCCAGTTTGTACTACACAAATAAAAGAATGCCATAATAAAGTGGATGTTTATTGATATAAAAATCCATATCGTAATAAACTTGGAGTTTATTCATAATTGCACACGTCATGGTGTAAATCTGAAATTTATTCAGTTGGCATAACTAGTTTAGCCATATCAATTTAAGTATGATGTGCAAAAATAAAAGAGAGTTCATATGGGTAAATATTAAAGAATTAGAAAGTTCTTTACGGATTCTCTTACGTTGCTTGTTCTTATTAATTAATAGACCAACTAAAATTGGGATTGAATCCTATGAATGCTGGAAATATCAAAGGTGAATATGGGCCCATTCACCTGCCATGTATACCATATAAGATGCATCTATAAAATGGTTACATGTGCGATTATTAATAACACGCAACATGGTGTTTTGCGAGGTAACTTGCTCAATAATTTAATTTCGAGCATAATTTCCAGATTTTCTATTCAAGAAGTTCATCTTGATAAGTTGGTTTATATCACAGTTGATTTAGCAAAATAATTTATTGAGTGCCTCCGCTTAATAGCTAAATTTTTACTTATGAGAACAAAGTTATTTATATCAGTTTGATATACGTTATATACGAAAGTATATTACATTTTCCCCTCACAGCTGGTTCAGGGTCAAGAACCAAATATTTTCATCTTATTATTATTGATGTGAGATGCATATTTTGATTAACACCATAATGCACAAAGATGGGTTCCCAAAATTGAGGAAGCAAGTTAGTTTTTCTAACATGAGGGGGAGAGATGATAAACATTTGAGAATTTACGTGGAATGAATTATTAATTCTCTATAAGCATGATAATGTGATAGCGAGGATTTTCAAGGTGCAACATATTCATTGAAGTTAATATGGATGATTCATCAAATATCCGGTGACGTCAACATTCAAGAAGCTAGTGCACAATTGTGATGCGAAGGCTCAAGGATGTGAAGTGATGCTCTCATCAGGGGGAGTTAATACGCGTTGTACTATTTTTCCCTTACAAGGTTTTGTCCCACTGGGTTTTCCTTGCAAGGTTTTTAACGAGGCAACCAAAAGGCATATTATTAGATGTGTGTACTCTTTTTCCTTTTCTAGATTTTTTTCCCCATTGGGTTTTATTTTAGTTAAGGTTTTAACGAGGCACATTATCTGTTGAATAGACATTCAGGGGGAGTGTTATAAATAGAGTTCTATTTATGGTGAATGTCTATATTTAGAGAGATTCTAGGGTTTATTACTTGGTGGCTAAGTCACCATCTCCCTATAAATAGAGGGTTCTATTCCATTGTAATTCATCCCAAATCAATAAGAATTTTCTCCCTCTACTTTTCTCTGCAATACTCTTCTTCTTCTTTTATTGTTTTATAACAGAATTATACTAATTATAAAAGCTACTTAATCCTAAATTAAAAGAGAAGAATCAATAAAAAGAAAAGGTGTAAAAATGAAGCATTTTTTGTGATTTTTAATTTTTATAAAACTAGTAACTATCGATTAATCCTAAAAATGTAAAAGTAAGGCCTAAATGCCATGCGTGATATTTTGGTATTTTTCAATTAAAAAAAATCTACAAAATTCCTAAAAATGGCAAATAAGTAAGAAAAATCTATTTTCTTGGGGTTTTTATCGGAGTATTTCATATAGGGCAAAAATCACGTGCTTACAGCTGCCCCTCTTTGCTCGGAAACATGAAGAGTTTTCGTGCAAAGATAAAGTGAGCAATATGAGGGATTTTTGCCCGTTTGAAACTCCATGAGAAGCATTTTTGAAAAGAGTCTGACCGAACCTTGCTTCAAAGGTGGCCTACATATCCTTAGCTACAAAGGAATCAGGTCTGTGTAGTTCTGGAAGTTTTGGTAGCTGGGACTACCCGGAGCTGTGATTTCACTGCTGATGCTGCTGCTACTGCTACTGCTTGCTGACCTCCTTATTACACCAAAAGGAAAATCAAAGCTAAGCTAGCTATGCCTATCAACTACGAGTTACAAGATTCCTATCTATAAATCTCTTGAAGCTTGATCTTGAGTCTTAGCTGATTTGGATGTGGACTTCGATCTGAATCTTGATGCTCGCAAGTTGCAGGTGTTTACTTCTTCATGCAACATTGGGTCGAAAACAGGATCAGCGGAGCTTGTGACTTTAATCAGATTTTGAGCAATCCGCACCCTTGCTTGCCTCACTTTTGAGTTCATTTCTTTTTGTTCTTTTCTTCTTTTCTTTATTCTGGATTGAGACTCATTCCATTGGTCATCTCGCACCTTGTGTCTTGAGATCGACCTGCTTAAGATACCAAAACAAATGAACGAAATTNTATCTAAGCAGTCAAATTAGGATTGTGTATTCTTGCGAATGAATCCAGGTTATGCTAGAAAATGACCGGGTTATGCCGGAAGGAAAAAGGGTCTCGAGTTATGCTGGGACGAAAAGAAAAAAAGATTCTCGGGTTTTGCCGGGATTTGGAAAGAAAAAGCTCCTTGGGTTATGCCAGGGAGATCCTCGATTTTTTGGCCGGGATGGAAAGAAAAAGCTCCTTGGATTATGCCGGGGAGATCCTCGGTTTTTGGCCGGGATTTGGAAAGAAAAAGCTCCTTGGTTTTTGCCAGGGAGATCCTCGGTTTTTTGGCCGGGATTTGGAAAGAAAAAGCTCCTTGGTTTTTGCCAGGGAGATCCTCAATTTTTTGGCCGGGATTTGGAAAGACAAAGCTCCTTGGTTTTTGCCAGGGAGATCCTCGGTTTTTTTGGCCGGGATTTGGAAAGAAGAAGCTCCTCGGTTTTTTGGCCGGGATTTGGAAAGAACAAGCTCCTCGGTTTTTTGGCCGGGATTTGAAAAGAAAAAGCTCCTCGGTGCTTTGGCCGGGAGATCCTCGATTTTTTGGCCGGGATTTGGAAAGAAAAGGCTCCTCGATTTTTTGGCCGGAAGATCCTCGGTTTGTTGGCCGGGATTTGGAAAGAAAAAGCTCCTCGATTTTTTGACCGGGAGATCCTCGGTGTTTTGGCCGGGATTTGGAAAGAAAAAGCTCCTCGATTTTTTGGCCGGGAGATCCTCGGTTTTTTGGCCGGGATTTGGAAAGAAAAAGCTCCACGGTTTTTTGGCCGGGAGATCCTCGGTTTTTTGGCCGGGATATTTAAGGAATGGGATCCTATGCTACCATAATTTGTTTTTCTTTTGGGATTTTTATTTTTATTTCCTTTCTTCTTTCTTTTTTCTTTTGTTTTCCTCTTTATATGTTTTCCCTTTATTTAGCAAAACACATGAAAGAATTTGGGGAGGGGAAACTTCCTTTTTGGTCATTTTCCTGCTGCAAAGCTGTTTCAGCGCTTGCGCATTTCATTTCTTTTGGGTTGCACCTACTTCTTGCATGGTTGCGCTGAATAAAACCTGTTTTTCA